CTATATTGCGGTGGAAACACACCCCAACAACTCCTCGAAAACTGGACAAAGCTTCTTCAAGCCCTACACAGATGTGATCTTCGCCTCTCCGCTTCCAAGAMCGTCATCAACCCCAAAGAAACCACCATACTAGGCTGGATCTGGACAGCTGGCACCCTAAAGGCAAGTCCTCACCGAGTCAACACTCTCGCTTCCTGCCCGAAACCCAACACAGTTRGTCAGATGAGGTCCTTCGTTGGCGCWTATAAAGTTCTATCAMGTGTTATCCCACAATGCTCCTCTTACCTCGCACCGCTCGACAATGTCACAGCCGGTCACCAGTCACAAGAAACAATTCCMTGGRCAGACGAGCTCCGGGATGCCTTCGAGAAAGCCCAACATGCCATACAGTCTCBTCAATGCATAACTCTTCCCAGACCAGATGACCAACTCTGGATAGTCACAGACGGAGCAGTAAGAAACCCTGGACTTGGCGCWACCCTCTACGTCACGAGAAACAACAAGCTCCTCCCAGCAGGATTCTTTAGTGCTAAACTTCGCGGCGCACAAAGCACATGGCTACCATGCGAAATAGAAKCCTTGTCAATAGCGGCAGCTACTAAGCACTTTAGCCCATTCATTATCCAGTCTGACAAGAAAGCATGCGTCCTCACTGACAGCAAACCGTGCGTCCAAGCCTTTGAGAAGCTCTGCAGAGGCGAGTTCTCTTGCAGAGGCGAGTTCTCTGCAAGCCCACGCATATCCACCTTTCTTTCAGTCGTAAGCCGCTACCAAGCCTCCATCCGTCATGTTGCCGGCTCGGCGATCCTTCCCTCGGACTTCGCAAGCCGAAACGCTCCCCCATGTGAGAGTGAGACCTGTCAGATCTGCACCTTTGTTAATGACTCCAGAGAATCAGTCGTACGCTTCACATCCATCCAGGACATCATAGATGGCAAAGTCCGCCTACCCTTCACCAGCCGTCCCGCCTGGTTATCCATTCAGACTCAGTGCCCCGACATGCATCGTACCCACGCCCACCTCACCCAAGGAACACGGCCTTCAAAGAAGCTGAACAACATTAAAGACGTGAAACGATACCTAAACGCAGCTACCATCGCTTCTGACGGTCTACTAGTCGTTAAGCGCACTGAACCCCTGGGTCCAACACGCGACTGCATCATTGTCCCCCGACAAGCCTTAGATGGTCTACTCACTGCCCTTTACATCCAGCTGCACCATCCAACCAGCCACCAACTGAAAATTGTCGCTAAGCGCTACCTCTACGCACTCGACATGGACAAAGCAATTGATCGTGTAACCAGTGGATGCCACACTTGCGCTGCCTTACAACAATCCCCTCATGCACGAGTCGAACAGTCCAGCTCACCACCACCCGATGTCATAGGTCAATCCTTTGCCGCCGATGTTATCAAACGCTCGCGTCAGCTCATACTGGTACTACGAGAAACTGTAACATCCTTCACAGCTACCAGCTTCATTAGAGACGAACGACACACCTCACTCCGTGACGCCCTAATCCAACTATGCGTCCAGCTTCGGCCACTAGACGGCCCACCAGCAATCATAAGAACCGATCCTGCACCAGGATTTAAATCGCTCGTAGACGACAAGCTATTGAAGCATTATAGGATCACCGTTGAGTTAGGCCACGCAAAGAACACAAACAAAAATCCTGTCGCAGAGAAAGCAATCCAAGAACTTGAGCATGAACTCCTACGACAGGACCCCCTMGGTGGACAAGCAACTGACTTGACCCTATCCATTGCAACGGCGTCTCTAAACTCCAGAATCCGCTCAAGTGGTTTGTCGGCTCGCGAAATGTGGACCCAGCGTGATCAATTCACGAACCTGCAGATACCCCTCAACGACACTTCTCTACTTACCATGCAGCACGACAAACGGCTGAAAAACCATCCCTTCAGTGAAGTCTCCAAAGCACCTATGAGTCTTCCACGCACTGCCCTCCCAATTACTGTTGGTGATTTAGTCTACCTTCATTCCGAMAGAAACAAGTCTCGCGCCAGAGACCGCTATCTGGTTGTATCCATCGATAGTCCGTTCTGCAACATCAAAAAGTTTGTCGGCAGTCAATTACGTARCTCATCTTATCGTGTTAAGCTGTCGGACTGTTTCAAAGTTCCCGCTGATATCACAGTCAACCTAGACCTGCCAAGACGCGCCACGGATGAAGATTCCGAGGAAGACTACCCTGAAGAGAAGCCTCCTCCYCCCTRTCCTCCGCCAATCCCTGCGGCTATCTCCACTCCTGCAATCCAGACCAGACAGCCTGAAGCGCAAGAGCACCCATCTCCTGCTGAACCTGATTCAACCGCAGAAACCTATGAAGATGACCTTCAACTCTCAGCTCCTACACAGGTCTCCATATCCCAAGAAGGACTAMRCAGGTCAACACGAYCAAGGCGCACTCCTGCACACTTAGCAGACTATRTTACTGACATTTAGCAAAGATTTATTGACATTTTCCTTAGTTATAAAGCATTTTGTATAAACTTTACGTTCCCGTTAGTTACCATTTAATACATTTTAAAGAAAAGGAAGTCACGCCAGTACCGGTCAGCGGTACCTTTTGTTTTACCCACGTGACCGACCGGCGGTCGGCCATCTTGCTTTTTCGCTCGATTAACTTCGTTCATGTTCTCATTTAGTTAGCTAGTTTTAGCCTTGATATTAAACCTCGTGGTTCAGTGTATTGGTCTGTCTTTATTACTAACTGGCGCAGAATATAAATTTTAACGGTCAGCATTCAAGGTGAAAGTATCATCACTTCAAACTAAGAAATTGTGATGGTGTTTATAATTAACAGCGGGTTTGCCATTGTCTGTATACTCTTATTGACATTGAAATTGACGTCAAAAATGCTCAAAACTTTGCAGTGGAACCACGAGCGTAAGCGATAAGTCGATATCGTCAAAGGTGTTACGGATGCATTTAAATTATTAAATTCGAAATTTCAAGGTCAATATTTTCATTTGATAGATTTTTTGCCGAAATTAGACCATATCTAAAGAAAGTCTGAGGCTTCATACAGATTTATGTCCATGGTATACTTCCGGTATACTTTTCTAACAATCTTCGAGTTGTGTCGCCATTGGCGGCTTGATTATTGATGGTGTTCCTTCCTGTTCAAAAGACAATCATAAGTATTTGGTCTTTCAAAACTCCGATGTTTGAAGTCTTTTAATCCCTCAATAAATTTGTTGTTTTTTTTTAAATCGTTGTTGGTGATATTTCTACATAAACTTGTTAGGTMAGCATCTCAACCTATATCAGGGTGATATCCAACTGGATGAGGACCTTGAGAGATATCTTCACATGCCTGTCAGATCCATGTCCAAGAGAAACGCGATAAGACAGAAAAAGACGCTGTGGACCTCAAAAGTCATTCCTTATGTAGTACCATCATTTATGTGTGAGTATTGTACTTTGAATAATGTAGCAATGYATTTAATTTACGCGACATTTTACTATTATCTTGCATTCTCTCGGCCTCCAGACAGGCGTATACAGTCTTTTTATAAAGGGCTATCGCAGGTTGGTCTCACCCCTAGCCCGGGGGGGAGGGGGGTACTCGACCCCGTTTTAGATAGGTAGGTGCCGCCAGCGATCTAAAACCCTTACCCTGTTTAAGACACTGGAAAGTAAAAATCCATACACTGTTCAAGACAAAACGGACAAATAAGTAATCGCTATCTACGCCGCAACCATCAAAACTGCAATTATACTGACATCCATCAAAGACAATAAGAAGTTTTTGATAACACGTTACACCCAATTTCAAATGAGTGCGAACTCTCCAATTTTTTTTGAACGCTAAACTTTCACTCGACCGTCATTACTCGACCGCTTGGTAACCAGGCACACGTGTTTAGTAAGTGATGCGTGACTTTCTGTAGCGGGACTTTCGCATTTAGAATTATGGAGGAAGAAGCGGTGGTCTTTGTTCGAGATACCTGTGGTCCTTGTGTTTCACAGAACATTCTACTTCACTCAATGCAATTGAGAACAATTAGAAGAATATCAACTAAACTTGATTAAAAAATATTATTTTCTATCTGATTTGTAGTTTAAATTTGGCTTTATTAACTTGTAAACATCAAATGCATGCAAATAATACTTTGCACATGAACTTGAGGGTGTTGTTTTCTGCATCTTGAAAAGATATTCTTATGTTGAACTAAAATACACATTTTTTCTTTTCTTTCGTTATGTAAACAATTTAAGTTTACAATAAAAAAATTATCAAGCAAGCGAAAAAATAATTGCAACACTGTTGTTTAAATTAAAGGTTGAAAACGAAGTAACTTATGGTTAAATGTAACCTTCTTTCGAAGAAGTAAATATATTCTTATTCGTATTACTGTAAAAACTCTGATTGATTGAATACAAGTTTACAATGACACTTACATGTGAGAAGTCGAGGCCTTCCACGCCGTGTATGTACAGCAACATTTCCTGTACGATTATAAAGTTGTCGAATTTTACAAACAAAAGTTTTCCCTACAAATAACGCTCTACAAGTTTCCTTAATGCTTGAACAGTAAATAAGTTCATGGTAAAGAACCCTCCACCGAATATCGTCCGATAACCTCTTCATTTTAATCAGTAAACTAGTAAAATCAACAAAGAACAGCCTACAACACTAAAAGCGATTTAAAGTGCGCGCCCTTGTCAGTGTTTGTCACGCTATCTATTTTTCAACTGTTTCGTTGTAATTATGAGCTGAGAAAGTTAAGTTAAACCGAAACTAGTTTGTACAATAAGTTCGTTTTGTAGTGCGATCACAAACCGTAGGAATTTAGCCCACAGACATACATTAACCATGTTTTTTATACTTGGATAATTTTACCCGCTTCAAGCTGTGCCAGATTACCAAGTGGTCGAGTGAATGACGGTCGAGTGAAAGTTTAGCGTCCGAAAAAAAATTCGAGAGTTCGCACTCATTTGNAATGGATATATTTTCATGGGTCTTTTTGTAGATTGGATTTGAGGGACATGGCACGAAAAGCGGAAGCACAAGCGTAGGTCTTACCAACATTACTGTAGCAACACATAGGTGTGAAAGACATCCAATATATGCAAAGCCAGGTAGCACAGATACTAACAAATTCATGATTTGAATCATTAGAGTCCCAAATAACCTGTATGTAAAAAGTTGTACTTACGTAATATTCAAATACTTTTACATGAAATACGAGAAATACTTTAGCATTTTGCGTGATTCATGAAATGGACAGACAGTTCTTTTGTGAGATGGTGTATGGGACCCTCTGTCATTATATGTAACATGGTTTCTTCGTTAATAGAAAAGTTTTTATTGGTTTAGCTTCGTTTAGGCTGTGGTGAATGTGTACACAATCGCACTATCCAAACAATAATAATATGCATATACATAAGCAATTTCATGAATGCACTCCATTCTAAGACGTTGAATTAGAACCGTTTTCTGTATTTTTTTAGAGCTGGCCTTCTGCAAAAGGAACGAGTTTCAATGTGACAACAAACAATGTATCGATCGAAAGCTGAAGTGTGACGGTGACAAGCATTGTATCGATGAATCTGATGAAAGAGGCTGCGATTGTCCATCGGTTAAGTTCCTGTGCCCAAGTGGAGAGTGCATCGATGTTGCCAGTGTGTGTAACGATAAACCAGACTGCGCAGATGGAACTGACGAAACAAATTGCGGTGAGAGATTATAAAAATCTATTTCTTGCAAACTAGAATACAAAAACTAAATGTGTGTAAGACTTTTCATTATTTGCTGCTAAATAACTTAGCAATAAATACCACTAAATACTGCTAAATTATGCTAATTGATTATTATATGCTATTTATTTATTCTATTGCTTTCTAAGTTGAATACGTTTAGTGTTTGCACCTGATAAAATTTGTTTTTCAAAATGCGTAGATCTTAATTCCTTGATATGATCACCATCTGGAAGTCCTTTTGTATGTCGTGTTGTAAAAACTAGTACATGTAGTTGTTTTGCCATATCCAAGAGAAATGAACATCTAAGCAGGAATAAAAGTTTGCCGAGTATTGTAATAATAACAATAACATAGGGATATGGTACCATTGGCATTTACGATAACATAGTGATATGGTACCATTGGCCTTTACGATAACATAGTGATATGGTACCATTGGCCTTTACAATAACATGGTGATATGGTACCATTGGCCTTTACAATAACATAGTGATATGGTACCATTGGCCTTTACAATAACATAGTGATATGATACCATTGGCCTTTACAATAACATAGTGATATGGTACCATTGGGCTTTACAATAACATGGTGATATGGTACCATTGGCCTTTACAATAACATAGTGATATGGTACCATTGGCCTTTACAATAACATAGTGATATG